TCGGTGTGGTTCTTGATTTAACGTCACCAGTAGGGCGTATAGGCCAGAGCTGCTTGATCATGGCTCTTTCTGATTTTTATTCAGTTCATAGCAACTATACAACTAGGCTGAATCTCCAGTGGAGGGACTCGAATGAGAGCGTTATTGATGCTGCTGCTGGTGGTATGTTTTTACATGTCCTTCATATCAGAGTTCTTGTCGGATTTATTCATGTTGTTAATGAATGTCTCTAAAATTCATAACATTGAATCGTGAAGAAAATTACTGAGAAAACAGATTCTCACTATACAATAAACGAATAAATTATTTCTTTTTCAAGCATAGCAAATCTATATTTGAAAAGGAAAATAGTAATATAAATGGGCACAAAGAAAATAATTGGTATTACCAATATCAGCATGACCCTACAAATAATTAAGATGTTTTGATGCTTGTCACTGACTCGCTCATACTTTACGTGATGAATGCAGCTCTTGGTTTGCTGAGAGATGTTGAGGTGGATGCTATTATTGGTCCTCAAACAGCTACACAGGTCAACTTTGTAATGGATATCGGAGATATAGCTCATGTACCAATTATTTCGTTCTCTGCAACGAGCCCTTTTCTCATCCCACGAACTCCTTATTTTGTTCAGACAGCGCAAAGTGATGCTGATCAGGTTGAGGCCATTGCTTCCATTGTTAAAGCTTTCCAGGGGAGCCAGGTTGCCATTATTTATGAAGATACGGAATATGGTACTGGCATTATCCCTTATCTTTCCAACGCGTTACAAGATGTCAATGCTCGAGTTTCGTACAGATGTGCTTTGCCAAAATCAGCCACAAGTGATCTTTTAAGCAAAGAACTATATAAAATGATGACCATGCAGACAAGAGTCTTTGTGGTGCACATGCCACTGCTTCTTGGTTCTAGGCTCTTTCTAAAATCAAAGGAGTTAGGAATGATGAATCATGGCTATGCCTGGATTGTTACCAGTGGCTTGACAGATCTATTCAATTTGATGAATTTAGACGTTGTCGAAGCTATGCAAGGTGTTTTGGGTGTAAAACCTCAAATCCCAAAATCTAAAGAGCTCGAGTCTTTCACGAATAGATGGAAAAGGACGTTTAGTCAGAATTATGAAGACATCAAACCGACAGAAGTAAGTATTTATGGCCTTTGGGCATACGATACCCTATGGGCTCTTGCTATGGCAGCTAAAAGAGTTGGAAATAGGCAACTGAATGAAATAAAGAATGCTTCTGTTTTCAATTCTGCATTCTCATTTCCTCTAAGGATTTCTGAAAGGGGTCCTGAACTTCTCAAAGAAATTTTAGAGACAAGGTTTCGAGGGCTTGCTGGAGACTTTTATCTTCGTAATGGACATCTGGAGAGAAATTCATATCAAATAGTTAATATTGTTGGGAAAGCGGAAAGAGAGGTAGGAATTTGGACACCGTCTCATGGAATTACCAAAGAACCCAATCTGAATTTGACCAATTTTTACTCGACCTCAAAGAAAAATTTCAGGAGTATTATTTGGCCAGGGGACTCAGTAACAGCACCAAAGGGTTGGGAATCTCCAGTTAGTGGTAAAAAGCTAAGAATTGGAGTGCCGGAAAAATCTGGTTTTAATGAATTCCTGAAAGTGGAAAAGGATCTTCAAACTAATGCTACAAAAGTTAGTGGATACTTTAAAGAGTTGTTCGATTCCGTCATGGCAGCGTTACCATATGCTGTGCCATATGAATACGTTCTTTATCCTTTTGAAAACTCTGACGGTTCAAGTGCCGGAAGTTACAATGATCTCATATATCAAGTTTCTCTGCAGGTTAATCATACATTTATTTTTTTCTTATGACTACATAGTTTTCTTCTACTCTGCAAAAACGTTATTGCTTTTACGTGGTATTCATTGGTTTTTGTTCCATTTGTCTTCGCTGAGAATAGGAGAAATATGATGCTGCTATGGGAGATATAACAATTACTGCTAACCGATCAATTTATGTGGACTCTACCTTCCCATACGCAGAAGGAGGAATTACCAGTGTTGTGCCAATAACATATGAGGATGCAAATGATAAGTGGACATTTTTAGAGCCTCTGAATAAAGAGCTGCGGTTAATATCAGCTATGTTTTATATCTTTACTGGTCTGGCACTTTGGATACTTGGAAAAAGGATTGACACCAGTTCCCGGGGTTCAGCCGGTCAACATGCTGGCATGATTTCTTATTTTCCCTTCTTCCCTGGTAATCTATCTCCTCTTCTTGACATTAGTATTTACACAGTGAAAATTTACTATATCTTCTTATCATTATTTAAACAGATTATTCATTTTACCTTGTATCGCTCTTGCTATAAATTTCGGTAGAAACTTGTGTCAACCTGTAGGACAAGGAATTGAAAGAACTTTAATTTTTCTTATTTTGGTGGGATGGGCATTTGTGGCCAGTTTGCTAACCTCGACCTACACTGCTAACTTATCATCGAGGTTAACATTGCAGAGGCTTCAACCTGCTGTCACGAATATGAAAGAACTTATTAAGAGTGGAGATTATGTTGGGTGTCAACAAGGATCCTTTCTTGTTGATTTCTTGAAAGGTTTAGGTTTTGAAGAATCGAAAATCAGGACATATAAGTCTGCTCATGAATGCGATGAAGCTTTAACAAAGGGAAGTAGAAATGAAGGTATATCAGCCTATTTTGACGTTATGCCTCACATCAGGGCTTTATTATTTGAATTCTGCCAGAAATACAAGATTCTTGGCCCTACCTATCGTACAGATGGATTTGCTTTCGTAAGTATTTTTCCTTTTATGATACTATACTAGTTTCCATCAAGTCTTGGACCCAAATATGTTATCGAGTTTGGCATTCTGCACTTGTTGACAATGGTTTAGTCATCTACCTCCTGTTCGTCCAACATGTGTAGTAAACTCCTCTATCTGTTCCCTCATGTTACTGATCATCTTACTTTCTTTTTAAATCAACAGGCTTTTCCTAAAAGCTCACCAATAGTTGCAGATGTCTCCCGCACCATAATTGAATTGACAGAAAATGGTAGAATATTCGAGATTTCTCAGCTGAAGTCTAGTAATCCAGCATGTGTAGGTCCAGACGGTTCTATCACCCCAAGCAGTGTGACATTGCAAAGCTTTCAGGTTCTCTTTGCCATCACAGGGTCCGTTACAGTTTCATGCCTCCTTGTTTCCTTGCTCATGTACCTTTATCAGAACCCCGGTTTTCTTCAAAGAATCTCAGACTTTAATGTCAAAATCTGGTCAAGAATTGATGCATTATGCAGATACTTCAAGTAAATCGACCTCTCTTCTCGATCCAAGCCTGGTGATACTGAAAAAAATAATATTCCTAAAGGCTAAAAGTTCATGAAATTGTTTCTCCATGGATTCCAATTTACCTTCATGTCTGAGACATACTCTCGACCCGTTTCATTAGGAAGAAAAGATTGACGCCTACTTGTCCATTGCCCTGAACTCTCGATTGCAAACATCTGCTGACTGGAGTGACTTGTAAGTAAGACGACAATGGTTCAACCTTTCAAGGTTTGTATGACTGTCATATAACTCAATACAGATAAGATTTTGCAGAAAATTGTTAAACTCTTGTTCAGAACTGATTCACTAGCATAATAACAATCCCATATCTATATATGTATGTATGATTTACCATAACTCCCATATATTACTGGATTGTGATCATTGATGCAACCAATGGATCCCTATGTGTGTAGTTATTACAATCTTGATATTAGGAAATCTTAACATCCCCTGCGAGTTCTAGGTTGAAACTTACTTGACTTTATAAGAGAAATAATATTTCGGAAGATTGCGATTTGGAGTTCCATATTTTATGAGATATGACCGAAGAACTACATGTATACCTATCTATGTCCTCTTTTTCTTTGTTCTCAACATTAATTTTGTCAGATATTATTGTTATTTACTATTTAGTTTTCTTTATAAAGAAGTTTAGTCGTTTCCCTCGTTCAAGGTTTTGTACTTCATATTCTCCACTTAATGGTCACTTTCACATTATCGAACAATAATTATTATGATATCATAGCGTATTTTGCTCATGCCTTGAGTCATTCTTCCATTCTCCCACATGTAGCATGTCGCAGAATGATGGCCACCAAGGTATATTTCCACGCTCAGTCTACTAATCTCAACCTCATCAAACACCTCCAATCAACGACCAAAATCACACCACTTCTTGACTTCGGTTGCTCACGATTGCACCCACAAAGGACACAAAAATGGAGTGTTATTTCAACCATAAAAGCGCCCACAGAAGACAGCCACAGACAAGAAAAGGGAGAAAAAACGGCACGCACAAAGCAAAGAAGAAGCAACCGATTTTTGCTCTCAATAAACGGGGAAATAACACACAGGCAAAAGTGGAGAACACATATATATAGTTAGGGGTTGGTTTTAATAATGGGTCAAGCCCAAAAGAAAACCAATAAGTAGGCCAAGTATATCCGTAAGTGGGCCAACACTAAAAGCCATCCAAGAAGTGAAGAAACCATGAGTATCTCCAATTAAATTTGGCCACTTCAAATGGTCTTAAGTGATTTTCAGGTCGAGCCATTTCATAGAGATGTCAATAATTTTTCCGTCATGTGATCAAAGCCGACTGCAAATTTCCAACGAATGTCATTGCCCAAGGTTTATTGGGTATCGAAACCCAACATAGCGTACTGCCACTCCAAGTGGTTTTGATCTTGCGGGTTCGAAAATTATGCAGTGATATGAACAATTAGACAAAGGAACATAGCTTAAAGCTGATACTTTGTATCAGATTAGTAAAGCGCACTCACTAAAATGTGTAACTTTTGAATGACGGGTCAACGAGGAAAGGGGAAAATCAGCTTAAGACATTAAGTGTAGGCGCTTTGTGGAGGTGGAATCTTCTAGTTCTTCATATTTGACCTGAAACCGATATTCTACCCATGAGCAGGTTGAAGAGAGCTTTAACAGGTATTGGAGGCAGTTCGAGTGCTTAACTAAGGAAAAGAAGATTTCATTTTACTTGTAATGAAACTTTAGGTAGGAGATACAGAGATTTTTTTATTTCCTAATGCTAACTAATGCATTAATTTGTATGAAGATAAAAGTATGTACTTCATTGTACAACAACATCAATGCTATCCTGCTACTTGCTAAAGAGGCTTTTCAATTTCCCTCTTTCCAGACGCTCGACTAGTTTCTTGGCTCCAGGAATCTCCATCTCGTTAAGCTTCTTGAGATAACCAATAGCCCCATACGAAATCATAAGCTTCTTGCATTTCTTGCTCGAGGAGAGCAACGAAAGGCAGGAAACAGCATATTTTTTGGCCGTGTTTTGGGGGCTCGGATTGAGCAATGCCACAAGATTTGGCACGCTCTTATCATCTCGTTTAACTTCTCTCCTGTTACATGGATTGGTCATCAAGCTAGAAATTGCTTGTGCAGCGACCTCCCTTGCATCATTAGCTTTAGCCTCCAGCATTCTTACAAGAGGAGGAATGCATCCCGTTTCTCCCACTAGTTTTATCATTTCAGTCGAGCTGCAGATTCGACAAATCACTGAAGCTGCCGCTTTCTGCGAGCTAAGAGAACCCAATTTTAGCACTTGCACCAACCTCTGGACAATGCCAAACGAAATGGAAACTTCGTTCGAGATTGAACCTGCCAAATTTCTCAACGTCCCGATCACAGATTCTTGAGGCAGTGGACCGTCTAAATAAGCTAACAGGCTTCTTATTCCACCTTCTTCGATTACAGACTTTCGGAGGTTGTCATTGTTGGACGTGAGATTTTGCAAGCATTCTGCTGCATATTCTTTAGATCCCAATAGAATTCCACAATCAAGAAGATTGATCATCACCTTAATAATCCCTTCTTCTGCTACTGTTTGTCCAACCTCTGGCACGGAAGAAATATTTTTTAAGGTACAAGCTGCGGCTGCTTGTGAAACGGAATCACCAGTTCTACAGATTTCAACCAAAGGCCTAACCCCACCATGCCCAACTATCGAACGAGCTGTTTCTGATGAAATGGACAACCTCTGGAGAGAAATTGTAGCCTTCTCTTTACCTACAGCACTACCAAATTCAACTAGCCGAATAAGGGGCGGAAGAATACCTTCAGAAATAAGCCAATTCTCGTAATTTCCAGATTCTGCGAGGGAACAAATGACAGTCACGGTTTTTTCTCTGATTTGAGGAGAAGTAGCCGTAAGCAATTGAACTAATGCTGCAACATTGGCTCGTCCCAGAACGGCCAACACGCTCTTCTTGTCCTCTTTCATGAATTCAATAAGGTTGTCAAGAGCCCTATGTTTAGCCTCCAAGTGACCAATCTGAAGTCTCGCAAGCAATTCTCGGACATTGCCAATACTTGTAGCTTCTGGTTCGGTCGAAGTGCTTCCCATAGCCGATGGCAAAGTAACCTCACCGAGCACTCTGGTTTTGATCAAGAGCCCACAATCTCGTAAATTCAAATCCAGATTCCCCAATAGTGCATCGAGATCACTTTGCATTTGAAGTTTCCCTTCGTACTTCAGTTTCACGCACAAATCCGCAAGCTCAATTGCTTTATTCAAAGTCTTCAAAACAGCTAGCAATTGCTCTATACAAAGCGCATTTTTCGAAAAGCAAGGATGGCAAGACAAGTCTGATAATCGTGAGGGAATCTGTTCCAGCTTTTCAATTATCATCTTCCACCTCCCCGGGAATCCTTTAACCTCCCGTGCCTTCTCTATTGCAACAGGAACAAGTCCCTGTGCACGAGATAGCCATTCTTCAGCCAACAGGATATCTACTACAACTTCTTGTCCACCATCATCTACCATGATGGAGAGAGGTACGGGTCAAGCTTTTACAAGAGCTAAAACAACAGAAATGCACAAAAATCATTCAAACCTTAATAAATAGTCCAGAAGAGCTATTTGCAAATACATTTTTCAAAATCAGATTCTTTACCTTAGTAAGAGCGTGAAAAATACGAGAAAACAATGATTTTCGCATCAAATTCATTGACAAACGAGAAAGAAGACTTCAGATGAACAACCTCCCCACTTTTGCCTGAAATGTGCAAAATGTTAGCAAAAATCAATTTTTTTTTTTTTTTTTGATAGAAAAACTAAAGCTATGGAGCAGTTACAATCATCAAAGATAAATTATATAATAAGCATTAAAAAAACTGTATTAAATTAATACAAAGGGGGTTAGAAATTGAGCCTTCAAGAATCTTGCATGATCATTAACATATAAAAAAATGCAAATGGCCTCTAAAAATTAATGCCAAATTAAGCACTTATAAATAAGCTAAATTTATATGCAAGTGACAGCTTATCAAAGCAAAGCAAGGAACTTTCCAACCGCCATCACTACTGTCAATCATCAAAGATAAATTATATAATAAGCATTAAAAAAACTGTATTAAATTAATACAAAGGGGGTTAGAAATTGAGCCTTCAAGAATCTTGCATGATCATTAACATATAAAAAAATGCAAATGGCCTCTAAAAATTAATGCCAAATTAAGCACTTATAAATAAGCTAAATTTATATGCAAGTGACAGCTTATCAAAGCAAAGCAAGGAACTTTCCAACCGCCATCACTACTGTCCAATCCAAAATCGTGCAAGATATAGTGAAATGTCAATCATACCCTCAGAAAATGTAGTAGAAGAAAGGAATCATATGATAATCTTAAAGGTCAGTTATGGGGAACAAAGATAAAAGCAGGTAGGTATACTTTTCAATCTGGAAATTACTGCATTTTTCTACAAGATTTGGAGAATTTGGATTCATTCTAATCCAACGGCTGAAAATTTTCAAATGTATCTTGACATGTATTGAAGTGGAAAAAGACTTTGCTTTGAAGAGAAGATAGAAGTCTCCATCTCCAGTTGTGTGTGTGTGTGTGTATATATATATATATATATATATATATATAAACACACATGGTAGTGTATACATTTCTAATATGGGACCAACCACTCCACCCCAGTTAGAAATATTTAACGAATGGTCATATATTTAGACGTGACTGAGTAAATAATTGTCCAATCGAATAACGTTACATTGAATTCTGAACTAATCAAGTGACATATTTAGGAATTGAAGTGCATTTGTCCACCCCGCTTAGCATTCATTGTGTCATAACTTCAGTGACAATCCCAATACGAATGTATGCATATAAGATCATCTCACTTAAGCTTTTCTTTATATTTCAAGATAAATAGATGCAATGAATGTATAGAAAAAGTCGAATAGTACCTCAAATTGATTTGTGTTTTGCCTAGCATTCAAGGCACTCAAAATCTTTATCAGCCACCAAACACCATTCCACTACTGTTTTTGCAAGCAAAGATCAAACGTTAGAAGAGTCAATCCAATCAATGATAGAGCCATAATTATTAATCTAGATTTCAAATGAAAATCCCAGTAGCAATTTTTTGTAGGTATGAGAGACAAAAAAATAAAGCAATAGAATTTCTTTTCACCATCTTGAAATAGGTGTAATGAAGAATTGGAGAAGTAGAAAAGACAAGATAAAGCAACATCTAAGACTTAGAAACAAGAATTTAGACCCTTTTTCTCCTCAAAGTAACTAAACTCATCATTTTCTTACTCTTTTATAGAATTTCTCTCTACGCTCACATAGTTAACATGTAGTAAGCATAATAACTTTTCTAAAGGTCAGCATGTTCATAATCAACATGTAGTGTGTTGTGTAAATATGGACCCTTCTTGGACACGTCATGATATTTGTCCAACAAATTACATGTTGTGCTCTATTATAATTGAAAGGTTGAACCCCAATCTTGAAGGCCCTCATCACCTCATCCCTGGAACATCGTAAGAGATATAAATCTCGGGATGCGTCCCAGCAAGTAAAGGAACAAGAGCTTGTCTGTACACTGATACTCACAAATAGTCCAATTTCATTATCTCAGAAATCGAATCTTCACACTGCAACTGCCAACAGTGCTGAGACTATCTCATTCCTGTCCTTTGCACCTTTTATCGATATTTTTTGGACAACTATTTTACGTGACATATAGTATGTCATATATTTAAAAGTAGAAAAATAAAAAGGTAGTATATAAATTTAAATTCTTAAAAATTATAATAAAATGTGTACGTCCTACTTTAAAAAACACACATATTGATGTGTCCAACTAATGTCATGTTCTTATCACGTGTCCATGTGTGCAACTTAGGTTGACATTCAAAAATAAAGGAAATTTGAAATTTAAAATCATCTCTCCCTCTCCATGGGGGAAAAAATATCAAGTTGTCTCACTCACTCCATGATTCTCTCCCTTCGTATGTATGTGCATATGTGTACATATAGGAGCATTGATACACATAAAAGTTCGTTTTAAGAGGGATAATGTCACTTGTACATCATTTTTTTACATCATGTTTTACATCATTATCCTTGACAAGATTTGATTGATGAAAAACTATTTTTTCTTAAATTGTCCAATAGCGTGTTGCCATGTAGCAGAATGCAAGAATTGGTGTACACCATAATATATACCAAATATGATTGTTTCAAGAGATTCCATTTACAAAAAGCATCTTATTCATAATAAAGAACATCTTTAAATTTAGATGGTAAATTTTTTATGTACTTTAATAATACTCTCTTTTTTTTCTTTTCTTTTTTTTTTTTCCTTTTTTGGGGTGGGGTGGGGTGGGGTGGGGTAGGGGGATTATCGATTTTTCCTAATCTTGTATATAATATGTTTTTGTATGTCAATAATCAATCAAATCAATTATGATTTCAAAATTTTTAGGAAGTATAGTATTGAATTATGTAGACTAATAACATCCAATCATAATACTTCTATCTTGGAGAGCTAAACCTGCCCTCTATTTGACAAAAATAAAATAGTGAAATTTTGAAACTTATTTTTAAGCATTGAGTTTTTTTTATGGAAAGCATCCTTATTTAAAGAGTCCATGAAAGATGCTCTATTATGAAAATTTGGCACTTGTGGGTAAAAGAATAGAAGTCATGGTAGTATTTCGAAAAGTTAATTTTTAGTAAATGAAGTATTTTTGGATTAATTTACAAGGATGTTCTCAATTAAAATTTTAATAAATTTTAAAAGATTATAAATTCTAACAAATTTTGTGGATTTGAATAGATTCTTACAAATTCTATAAGAATCTCATAAAATATAGTGAAATTTCAAAAGATTTCCTTATATGTATTTTTAAGCTTGAAATCCTTTCAATTTTTTAAAATCATTCTATTAATGAAATCTTTATAAATTCACTAATTATTGAAGATATCTAAATTTCAAAGAATTTCATTAAAATCTCAATTGAGGACACTTAAATTTTTATGAATTTCATTAAAATTTAATAAAATCTCAATTAAAAACACCTAAATTTAGAATGACTTTCAAAGTCTATCACATTCTCAATTGAGAACACCCCTTAATCATTCAAATCTAGTTGGAATCTCAATTTAGTCACTATGATACCATTTTGTCCAAATCGTTCGATAGCAAAGTTGTTTTTTTTTCCCTTAAAAAGTAACAATTCATGTACAACTTTACCAAGAAAATTATATAGCCTGCTTTGAGTTTGAGTCGTTTTTTCATATGAATTGTGACTTTCTAAGGAAAAACTTTGACCCCAGACTTATTTTTCTGTTCAATAAAATCTGAATACAATAAAGTCATAAGTACAGAAAAAATTTAACAAAACTTATACTCAAGTTGACGTGGCAAAATGTATGTGGACAGTGTTTTTTTTTTTTTTTCCCCATCTTCCAATGACGCCGTGCCATATATTATCTGTAAGATTTTTCTGTCAAAAAATTATGTACTTGTAGCATGATTAATTGAGATTTTAACAAAACTTTAGTGGTTAAAAATGGTACAAAAAATAACATTGAGTGATCTCTAGTGTTTTTTATAACCCGATAAGTAAGCCTTGCCCGTCGTGCTTTTGTGGGGCTTGGACAAAGGGTGATACATGTCAAGCTAGTTTAGAAATCGGACGGTTTTAGTAAGGCGTACACAGTAGTGGTACTGACGGTTAGGATTGAATGAAATTTGAAAGTGTGTGATGAATTCGATAAGGGTGCATGATATGGCACGTCATTGTACCACGTGTAAGGTGAAGATGGTTTAGTTGTGACTTTTCAAAACTTTGAGGTTTTATGTTGGGTTTTGTTTGCATGTGTTGAATAGAAATTTGTGTTGGATAATTATATTAGAGCATCCACACGATGCCTTTTAAATATAAGATGGACTTTATTTTAAATAATCAATCCGTAAAGTTATATTTTAAAAAACTCTTTAAATTAGCATTTTAATTTAGTGAGCAAGTTTAGCTCTTCAAATTTGGATAGCCAAACCCATCATCTGTAATTAAAGGCATTCAAGAATATTTCAATTTTAAATGGAGGAAAATAATATCATTATTTGGAGGGGAGTTAATGAAAATAAAAGATATCGAAAAATAAAAAATAAATAAATAAATATATATATATATATATATATATATATTTTAATTACATTAGAATTTATTAATCTTTGCCCAATGTAGTACTTATATTTCCAACTTTTTTCATCATATTTTTATCTTCAAATTTTCATTAACTAGCACTTTTAGAATGAAAAAGTCAGTTAAGTAGGCCTAGAAAAGATTTATTTTTCCCTCATATTTTTAAAATTAGCAAAAATTAACATATATTAAAATGTAGCATAATGTTTTTCCCTTCAAAGCACATTAACAGAGTAATTGGACAAAAACAATTATTAGGGACCATATGTACAGATGTATTATTTAATGAAGGATTGAAGATAAGAATTTGACAAAAATAAAATGTGGACACCAATAAGATAATAAGTAAATATTGAAGATGTTAATGCAATTAAAAAGTAGCATAACTAAAACCATAGTTATCATAACCGAACTAGACCGATTATTTTGACCCACGTGGAGTTTTTTGGTCTATTTGCTAATGAACCAATCTAGAATCGCTATCACCGTTTAGTAACAGTTCAAACCAAATAGGGTTTTAGTCAAAAGTAAAGAATAAATAACTCCTACATATAAGAATCACATTTCAAAACTAACAAACTTGTCAAATTATTTTAATATTTAGGTGTTAAGTGCTTGCTGTGATCAAATTTATTATTTGTGATACCTATGTTATAAAATGACTAGGTGTGATCAAATTTGTCTTCAATGTAACTGTTTATGATTGTTTAATTTGTGACTGCATGTAATTAAGTCTTTAATCTGTGTTATTTTGTGACTGATTGTGA